CCCTAAAACAAAAATAGGAACATTAATGGACATGAAATTGTTATTACACCAAGTCCGATTCGAGACTAGTACAATCCAAGGTCAATGTCCGGTCTGTGTAGTATCAGACAGTCCATCCATTTCTTCCAGCATCAAGCAAACAGGTTCCTCTTATAACTGGCGTCTGCTGTCATTCTCTCCATCCTGTAAATGTCTACTGTGATGTCCATCCACATGCTCAGAGTTGGGCTTTCTGTGAGAGCCATTTTTTGTAATGGCTCTCTTGGCTGCCACCAACAAAATAATAAACAGATATTTGTCTCTCTTTGGCCATCCTTCAGGCATTAGTCCAAAAGATTTAACTTTACTCTCCAAAGGCAGATGACTTCCTAAAGTTGTATTGCATTGTGTATTTCCTGCCACTACCAGGACAATCCCAGAAGACATGACTATGATTTGCTTTAGTATTTCCCCAGTGAATTGCCCTCACAGCAAGATATTTGGTAAGGGGTAATAAAATATCTCGCTATACTACATTTCCATCAATATGTCCATAATGTTGTCCATTTTTCCTCCCTCCATTTCCCACTTTACGTTAATATATCGTTAGCTTCATAGCATAAGTGCCTAAGTCATTTTTTGGTCAAATTGAGATTTTTGCCTAACTTTACTCCCCTACCACTGCTGCATCATCCTGTCCGTCTGCCTATGTCATCACAAAAAAATGACTTAGGCACTTATGCTATGAAGCTAACGATATAGAGTTGAATGTATTTCCATGCTTTTAAGCCCATTGTATACGCCAGAAATAATGCCTCTATATTTGTTTGTTTCTTCCCTCGCAAACATGTCCAGCAGCTGTTTACTTGATTCTTGATACTCTGATTCTTCCTTTTAGAGCTGCTTTTTTCATCCCATGGAATATCGGGCGCACGTCACCATTGTCATTAGTCTCCAAATAAAAGCGGCTCTGCTCTTTAATGTGGGGATCTTTCAGTATGCTCGAATTCAATTTTCTTGAAGAAATGGATATCGCTACCAGATGCTGCATACACATTTAGCAGCGTAATTGAATTCCCCTCAATGTTTTCCCTTATTGAAATAAATCACCCCTCCTTATCTCTTATCGCAAATGTTTTTTCAAAATGCTTGATAAAAGGATGGCAACTCCTCATCTTCATCCAGAATTATGAGATGATGAAAATACATTTGTAAAACCCATTCTTTTTCATTTCTCTTGTTCCTTGTAGTTTAGGTGGGTCTTCTCTGCATATTCCCTTTGCCAATTTAAAACCCAAGCTGCATAATCATGATCTAGGGCAGCGGTCCCCAACCCCCGGGCCTCGGACCGGTACCGGTCCGTGAGTCGTTTGGTACCGGGCCGCGAGAGTTGAGGCTCAGGTGTGAAATGTCTGGTTTTCAGGGTTTTTATCGGTTTTCAGCGTTATTTTGTTATCGTTTTTATCGTTACCTCGGTTTTCCTGGGTCTTTTCACGTGTGTTATGAATAAATTTTCTTTTTTTCGGTACCGGTACTAGTTTTATTTTGTTGTATTTATCCGCGACACGTTAAAGGCCGGTCCATGGAAATATTGTCGGGCATAAACTGGTCCGTGGCGCAAAAAACGTTGGAGACCGCTGATCTAGGTTAATCCTGTTTCAAATCTATCCAAATCCATGTTTCTGCCAGGCTGCTTTCAGTGTTGTTCGTTCAATCTGAAGTTGGCCATCTTTACAACTATGGACCATGGCGCCACATTTGGTGGTGGCTTTGGCACCAGAGTGCAGTGTGCTCTTTCCACCTGTAGCTCAGTGGAGTCAGGCAAATCCACTACTGATGGAGACTCCTCCTACAATCCTTCTTTAATGCCACATATTCTAATGTTTTCTCTTCTGGATCGTCCCTTTAGGACGATTTTTTTCATCATCTCTGTTACTGCTTCCTCATTAAGTTGTCTTCGGGTTTCATGATTCTTTCTTCAGCCTCTTCCACTTTCTTGTTTGTTTTACTTATATCCTCTCTGATTCCACTCAGCTACGCACAGTTGACTTTTCTTAATTTATTTAGTTCTCTGATTGTTCTCCACTAGCCTCTGCTTGCTTGCCATTATCTTCCATGATGCTGTTAGCAGGTGAGATCTGGTCGTCTGTGTCTCCCTCGTGTAGCTTGTGTTGCACAGATTTCTTTCTATTTTTTCCTCTTTTTTTCCTCTTTTTTGGCATTTTGAAGGCCTCACTCTTATTTCTTATTTTCACAAAAGAAACTTTGGTAAATCAAGTTGCCGTGTGCTATTTTTTTTTTTGAAGCCATGGGCACATATTTGACATTAGAAAAATCACACGGCACACCACCAAACAAAAATGTCACAAAAAGCATGTTGATAATTTTTGCCCGCGCACCAGGTATAGCAGAATTGGTTTCTCCAGGGCCCAGGCCAGACTGACTACTTTTTCTTTTCAAATATTTATGTATTGCTATTACGCCCTGTGTCGTCTCACAGCATGACTATTATGTAATTTCTTCTTCGCCTTCTTCTGTTTTACTGGCAGTTGGCAACCCATTTTATTAGAGCAGGTAGTTTTACTGCGCTCTAGTGGAGGAGAGTGTAATTGTGCCGCGGCACAGTGGTTGGGAAACACTGGTCCCACAGTTTTTATTATTAGTATTATTATTATTATTATTATTATTGTTATTATTATTTCATTTTGCTGTAACAAAGACAAAAGAGGACATTCTGTACAGTCTTTTGACAGATTTTTATCTTGACTAATGCAATATTTATGAATATGCGTAAAACTTTCATGTTTCAGATCATGAAACAAATTAAAATCTTAGACATGGATAAGTAAATAGAAAATGCAGCTTTTATATGATGATATTATTTTTCAAGCTATCCAATCATTCCAATCGCCTCAAACCACAACCGCTCTGAAGCTGCTGTTAATCAACTATGTGCAATATCTCAGTCTCTACAATATTTTGGTCTCAGTGGAATTAACATCCCATATACCATGTATATAGTTCACTCACATATATGTACACATATATATTGCATTTTTTTCCCCTCGCTGTATATTGTTTTCTCTTCTTTACTTTTGCAACTCTGTGGTCCAGCTACCCAGTTTCGCTGTGCAAGAAACTGCACAATGACAATAAAAAGCTCTAAGTCTCAAAGCTGAGAAAAGTTTATGTGGGACCTGCCTCTCCCAGTGTTTTTCACACCCGTAGATGCTTGAAATCACTGAGTGTCACTGACTCTCTTTGGTCTCTGGTTATTACACCACTGCAAATGGCTCCCTGCAAAGATTTAGGGAGCGGCAGGTAAAATATGTTGTATTTAAACTTTCAGGATCTGCTGTTCTTTTTGTTGGTGAAGTGTGTCATGTTATCATGCCTAAGAATCTCTCTAAGTTCCACAGAATAAAAGACTGTAGATCCTTGAGGGTATGGAAAGAGATAAAAAAAATTAATTATTTATTTGAAGTGTATCAAACAACTGTCCAGGACTGGACTAATAAGCCCTAGAGCAGATGATCTGAAACAGCTGACAGATGGTGTCCAGAGAGAAACATAGGTCACAGTTGTATAACGTGTATTAGAGGCAGCCATGTAAATCTGTAAAAACAGTAGCTTCTGTGACCAGAGGTGTATTTCCCATATAAGAATATTCAATTCATTATAGTTTTGTTGGACTAACGACATCTATTTTCCAAATACATGAAAAAAGCTATCCATGCCATGGGCTTTCTTTCTGCAGTGTCCAGTTTGTCTGCTAGTAGTTCCTTTAAGGAACACTGGAGAAATCTGCTTTCAGAACATATAAATAAATGTGGAGATGATAGTTTCTAAACCTTCTGTTCTTAACAGAGACTAAGGCCTGTTCTCACACTTCTAGGAATCGTCAGTATTGTTTTAGATCACACTTGAAAATTGTCATTCATATTCAGTAAGGGGTACTCGCCATCATCATTGCCATTTACCATTATGAGATCAGCATAGGCAGGCAGTGATTGGCTCCTTCCCCATGGCCTCAGAGAAGGCAGATTATCTTCAGTGGTGTCTGCAAGAGATGTTGATTCATCCAGATGGCTTTCTGGAGTGACTGCACCTCCTGACAGAGAGTACAGGGTGTGCTCCTCCTGCAAGAAACACACACAGGAGTGGGGCGAACATGAAAAGCTGGTATTGTTAAACTTAAGAAACCAGATACATGTTTTCCTCTTTTTACAACACATATTTTATTTGAGATAATTAAATGCAAAATGTTTTTGTGTTTCTCTGAAATCAGAAAAACAAACTATATTCCTACCAAAAAACAGGAATAGTTATTTACTTCATTCACTTTCTTAGTGCAGTCATGGACAGATGGTCCATTTTTCAAAGCTTTAAGGGATAAGTGATATTAATAAAATAGAAATCATTGATATGAACACTTTATGGACAGATGCACTCAAACATCCTTGTAGTGATCGTTGTACCTGCAGGATCTCTTCATAAGACTGTCTGATCGAGTCTTGTAGAGGACTGTTCCGCTCTCCAGCTTCTTCCACTTTCCTCTTGGCCTGTTTCACCTCTTCTCTTAGCTTCCTCAGCCTCCATCTGGCTCTGGAAAGCTCCCTCTCATACTCCTCCACTTGGCTCTCCTTCTGTGCCTCCTCTGCCTGCAGAGATAGGATCTGGAAAGACAGGACTCAGTCAGTCCAGTGGGCTACAACAACAAATGTATTAGCTCATCTTGAATTTAAGAGCAGTGAAATGTCTTTCTGATGAGACTGATAAGAGCAACACAAGGTTAGAAGAGTAACACATGAATTATACATCTGTGTCAGATTGCATCGCAACTTACACATAACTGTAGCCCAATTTTAACTACGCTGCAACCTTCAATGTAACCTGACTTGCACCTCCCAAGGAATGTAACTCCATGTCATGTTACTGTCTACCATGATGACTTGAATGGTGCGGAAGGTTGCCGTATAGCGATAAAAGGAATTTCTGTTCACTATATAAACTATGATGTAGATTTCCTGCAGAAGTTCAAATCATGCTTAAGTGGCACGAAAAAGAAACACCTGGAGGAACGTTTAGCAGTAACTAATTATTTAAATAAGCATTAATTAAGAAGCAGCAAGTGTAACGGTATGACTGCACAGCTTTGGAACGGGAGTCGCAAGTTCGATTTCCGCCTGGAGTGACTGTATCCAATAAGAGTCCTAGGCTAGACCCCCATGCTAACCAAGCCTACCGCAGACATGAGCGAAGGAGATAAATATGAAGCCATACTTGCTCGGACATCGCCCGGATTAACAAGGTCCGCATCAGGTGTAAACCAGGGCACCCAGATGAGAAGTGAGCTACAGGAACAAGAAGGCATCGGTGGGCAAGAGACAAAAATAGTGCACTGTTGGAATGCTCTACACAAGTAACCCCAGTGGAAGGGGTTACACGAATATGATTAAGATTCTTATGGAATCTTCAGTACCCAGCATCCACATTGATGGCAAAACAACTAGTAGCTCAGTGTTCCAACATTCGGAAGAAGGGACCGCTCTCATGGCTAGAAATTGAAGAGGTACAACACACATGCTATAGAAAAGGGGAGCCAGGACGACAGGTCAGGGGGGAGATACCATTACCCCCACCTGAGATTGGGTACCAAGCCCATGTGCGATAGAAGAAGGATTGTTGGGTGAAAGACAGATTCATGGCGAAGCTTGAAACCTGGATCCTCAATAGCCGGTTACCGAAACTAACAAGCTGATCTACACCACGGCAGCAATGAATAGTGAGAATCTTGGCTACAAGTTGAACAGCCACAAGGAGCAGTACCCTCCATGGAGAAGGAGACTACAGGCCAAGGTCAAGGTAGCACAGAGGGAGGATAGCCAACTATTGGAGCCGCAAAAAGGTGCAATTAGGAAGATGCCGAAGAAGAAAGCCAGTACAGAAAGCTGTCCAAAGGCGTCTAGTCTAGTTAGACAGTTCTGTGAGTCCGAGCAATAGGCAGGCAGGGTGAACAACACCCTGTTGACCATCCGAGAAACATTTTTGCAACGAGTTGCTCCTGCAACCCTGTCCCTGGCTAGTGCACCCACATTCTTAGCTTCCGCTTCTCTGCGCTCCCCTCTCCTGAACCATTTACAGGGGAGGTGGGCCAGTGCAGAGGCTTCTTCTTCATTCTGCTCTGCTATTCCAGCACTCTTCCAGGGCCTTTCCCAATGTTAATTCAAGGGAATAAATAATTGTTGGTTCCTTTCAGGAACCTGACTTGTAATGGGTCAGATCTTACCTCCTGGTGACATTCTTTAGAAATACTTACTTATGCACAGTTCCTGTAAGATTTTAAGATTTTATTCCACCATCCTTTGTGCACAGATGAAGCAGCCCATCAGTTGCTCGGCCTTTAACAGTACCCGGTCTGTAGCCGAGTTCTCCATTAATTTTCATGTTAAGGGCACAGAGACAGGGGGGTAAGAAAACGCTTTGTGCTCCCCTTTAAAAGGATGAGCTCGCTGCACAGGATGAACCCAGGTGTTTTGAAAGCCTAGCAGATTGTGCAATCAGGATTGACAATCGGTTGCATGAAAGAGAGAGAAGAGGGTTAGAGGTTACAAGACCGGGGTGGGCACTTCTCCATTCGTTTTGCTCCTCGGACCTTTCTGACTAGCTCCATGAGTGTCTGACAGCACAGATAAAACAGCTGCTAGTCGATGAGAGACACCCAGAATGGCTAACTGAAGGCTGAAGAGACCTGATCTTCAAGGACCCCAGTCTTCCTTGTTGGCATTTGCTTTGCCTCCCCCTGAGCCAATGCAACTGGGATGCACAAGGTTGACATCAGAGAAATGCTGGAGGAGGTTCGACGAGCAGTTGTGTATGTATTGTGGTTTGTTGGGCCATTTTCTGGCCTCTTGACGTGTCTGGCCAAAAGACAGTGCCTACCAGTAACTGTGGGCCGTGACAGGGATACTAAGTGGGCAGTGCCTCTCCAGATGCCGAGGGTCCCCGTATGCAACTCCCTACCACCCTGTGTGGCAAGACCAGGACCTATTCATTACAAGTGCTTTTGAAGGCAGGTGCCAAGCAGAGTCTGATTGACAGAGATTTGGTGCAACAACTTGTGAGGTTCTGGTAGCTGTAAATGCTCTCAATGGTCAGTCACTTCCCTCCGTCACTCACCAAACCAAACCAGCTGAACTTATTCGTTAACAAGTATCTACTACCTTGGTCCATTTCTCATTACTCCTGACAGTCCAGGTTCCTCAACACCTGACCTGGTGAAGTCCAAGCTGTTATGGCTTCAGTTAACAGCCATAACAGTTATGGCTTCAGTTAAATATATCGCAAATATTCCGAGATAGGCTTGGTTAGCATGGGTGCCTAGCCGGCTGACCCTTACTGGATACACACCTTCACGTTGAACCCCCAACATAAAGTTCCAAAGGGGACAACTGTGCTATCGTAAGAATAGCAACACCAAGGCTGGAAGACAGAGCAATACTGGAAGAGCATATGGGAGAAGGACACAACCCAAAACAGCAATGCTCATTGGCTAGTAGATCTAAGAACAGACCACAGCAAAGGTCGCCAGTATGAAGAATTGGACAGAACCAGGCCCTGACATGGTTCACGCCTACTGGCTGAAGAAGCTGACTGCACTCCACGAGCGTCTGGCAGCGGAGATGAACCAGCTGCTAAGTCAATGAGAGACACCCAGAATGGCTAACTGAAGGCCGGACAGTTCTGATCCTCAAGAGCCCCCAGATGGTATCGGTGACGTCCAATTACCGGCCAATAACCTCCTCAGTACCACATGTAAGCTCCTGTCAGGCATCATAGTGGCTAAGATGAACAGTCACATGGATCAATACATGAGTGGGGCACAGAAAGGAATTGGCAAGAATACCAGTGGCGCAAAACACCAGCTAGGTTGGTGGACTAGGCTGACCAACCTGTGCACTGCCGAATTGATTACAAGAAGGCCCATGACTTGATGCCCCACACCTGGATCCTGTAATACTTAGAACTGTACAAGATCAACATGACCCTAAAGGCCTTCATCAGGAACTTAATGGGGATGCGGCAGACAATGCTAGAGTTCAACTTCAAGCCCACAGCACAAGCCATCATCAAGTGGATCTACCAAGGAGATGCTCTGTCCTCACTACTGTTCTGAACCCCTCAGTGAGATCATTAATAAGACTGGCTATGGATACTGACTATGGAATGGAGCAATTGTCAGCCACCTCCTCTACATGGATAACATCAAGCTAATGCCAAGAGTGACCGAGACATCGATTCACTGATCCAAACCACCAGGATATACAACAATCACATCGGAATGTTGTTCGGGCTGGAAAAGTGTAGTCGGATGATAACAAAGAGAGGGAAGGTAGTCAGAACTGAGGGGATTGAACTACCAGAAAGCAACAATGCAGACATAGAGGACAGTTACAAGTACCTGAAGAGGCCGTTATAAGAACGGAGGTTAGAAGCCTATCATCAAGATCAGGAAGCTCCTGACCATGCGTGGAGAGTTTCACCCCAAGTCCAGCACCCTTAGGCTGTATGGTAAGTGGAAGGAAGGAAGTCAGAGACTGGTGAGTGTCAGCACCACAGTCCAGGATTAGACAACGAACTATATTAGGAAGATGGCTCAAACTGACTGCCTGGTCAGTGACAACTTGAGCCAACAGAAACCCAAGAAAGAGGAGGAACCATCATGGAAGGACAGGCCCCTGCATGGTATGTACCACCGGCAGAGAGTGGAAGTGGCTGATATCCAAAAGTCCTACCAGTGGCTGGACAAAGCTGGACTGAAAGACAGCACAGAGGCACTAATCATGGCAG